TTATACAGTCAGTTTTATCACCTGTCTTGTAAATTGGTGCAACAATAGACTCCTTCCACCGAACCCTCAATTCTTACATATTTCAAACCAGAAATAATGAGTTTATACGAGTATATCTCGGCCCCTAATGTTTCATCTCGTGCTCGAATCAGTTCTACTGGAATTTGATCACTTCCTGGCGAATTGTACTTTTTAAGTAGTTACTATAGGATTCTGACGATGGTGTATAACACACTGATATATTGGGTTTTTGGACTTTATCCATCGTCCTGGTTTTTAAGATAACTAATAAAAACACGACGTTTCGGAAACTGGATCTGTTTCCGTCCTCAGGTGAAGGACGGTCCAGTGATTGAGGCTAGCTCTTTCTAACGGACCCAACAGAATAGGTGTTTTCCTTCACCTGAGGACGGAAACAGATCCAGTTTCCGAAACGTCGTGTTTTTATTAGTTATCTTAAAAACCAGGACGATGGATAAAGTCCAAAAACCCAATATATCAGTGTGTACTTTTTAAACTTTGTAATAGCAGGTTTAACCTCAAGAGGACTAGGTTCAGGTACTAACAGCTCAGATGTATATATCTGTATCTGCCTAACATCACTGACCCTGTGTACATTCAGTAACTCGGGAGTATTTCTGCCACCTATTCAAAATGTTGTTGGAATCGGCAAGCAGTTCACCATTCCCATCCTTTGTCAAGTTCTGGATTTGTAACCCATCTTAAATTCATTTATTCCTCTATGTAAGTCTGTAAAGTTCACGTTCTTACAGTGAGTTGCAAGCTCATTAATTTTGTTTTTCAGATATTTCCTCTTTTTATTACTGAAATATCTGCTGGCTTCACCTCTTGCGTTGTTCAGATTCTCTCCTTTCATTTGGCTTGGATCCTGTAACTATTGCAGTGTGGCCCTTTTCCTCTGATATTTCTTGAGAGCGTCACCAACAGTGTGACTGACTGACTGACTGACTGACTGACTGACTGACTGACTGACTGACAAATGACAGACCAGACCTCTCGTCAGAGAGGGTCCCCCCCCCATGGACAGGACAGTAACTTTCATTTAAAAAGTAACATCTGGTCATGACTGGGCTCGACACCAAGACAGGCAGATTCACTGACCGTCAGTTAGTGCTAGGTTCCTTTTAGACGCATGATATGTCTTGGTTTGTAGGCGCGTCTATGAACTATATATAAGGTTATAAAATTGAAAATAAAAATATTGAAATAGTGAATTGAAATTGTTTCTATGTTCTGTTTTTTATGTGTTTATTCTTTTGCGTTCAGATGAGAATATTATTAAAAATGGTTTGTTCCAGTAGGCATTGTAGCTGTGTAGGATGTAATATAGGTGTGTGGGATATAGTAGGCACGGCTGATGTTTATTAGCGCGCTTGGGTTGACCGTTGCTGGGCAAGTTCGTTGGGCGTGTTCAAAATTACTTGAAACATTGGATTGTTCTTATTTGAGTATGCATCGTTTAATTTAATATCGCCTTTTTAAAGACACATGTGTACATTGAAACTTTTCATATCCAAACAAACAGGATGCAACTTCCGAAATACAAGAAATTCTTGGAACAACTATTCGCCTGCTTTCCTTTCACTACAGATAGATTATATAAGTACCAAGTTTCATGACGATCGGTTCGGGGATTCAATCAGTGTTAAGGTTTTACCTACAAAATTTGAGAGGCTGTAATGTTGGTATTACTGATGGGAGGGGGGATTTATTAAATATCCTGTTGAGGTGGGCTCTTGTGGCATGATATACATACTTAGTTTCATGAAGATGTACAGGCCTTTAAGCAATATGAAGGTTTTACCTTAGCGATTTGAGAGGCTGATTGCTTCATGTGACATGATATACCTTCCAAGTTCAATTAAGATTGGTTCAGGCATTCGAAAGTTATTAGGGGACTTACAGCAAGGTGATCTCGTAAGCCGACTTTTACTCTTTTTTTTTATAAGGAAAATAGGCTAATAGAACTAATACCTATTTCTCCACCTCATTTCTAAGCCTCTTGTCCGATGTCTCATCCTTCAAAATATTTTCAGCTTCCCATCTTAATATATAGTCCCATTTTCCTCTGTGCTGCATATGGGGCAATATTCAATGTTCAACCTCCTATTTTCCACCATGCAATTCCTCTTCTATCTGCGAGAATAGCGTTCTTCACACTCACCACCACGATAACTTCAAATCTAACACAAAGGGTGCTTCTAAGTATTCTCCTTTCATTTCCGACAGTAGCCTTGAAGCATACGTGGCAACACATGTCGAATCTCGCACGCCATTCTGATGAGTTCCCATTCTACGTGGGCTTTAGTTATTCTGCCATCCTCACATTCTTCAGAGTGATACAGGCTTGCCTCTTAGACTCTGAGCTGCTTTGATATGGCATCATCAACCACTCCCCTTGCCCGATTCATGTTTTCACGTCATGGATGCTAGTCATATCGACAATGTAAAATCTTCAACAGAGCGTAGATGTTGTCAGCTGTTCACAGCCTAAAATATCATCTATCGTACGTCGTATTTCGAGTAGGCAGCCTTCTGGAAGAAACGTCCCTCTGTGATCAGCGAGATTTTGGTTCCCTTTGTACGCTGAAAATAGAATCTAGTAACCTTCAATTGATGCCTCAACAATCTACGTCACTCTGTTATGGCGCAACCTCCAAGATCTTTTATAGCCCATGCAGAGTTTTTGAATGGCTGTTTTCATCTCGTATTGAGCGTTTTCAATCGTGCTTTAGAATGTGCCATTAGGAGCTTCCATGAAAATCAGGATGGAAAGGAATGGAATTGAATATAAGACATCAATTTTTGGCCTGTTCTGAAGATGTTAATTCATTGGATCCAAATATAAATGTATATAAATAGAAAACGGAAGATTTATTCGACCTTAGTTAGGAGATTGGTCTAGAAATAAACGCAGAGAGAAGTACGTACGTGTCAATATCTCGCCACCAGGATGCAGCACAGCACCATGGCATAAAGACACTTTTTTTTATTGCTAGTGGGGTGGGACTAAGTCAATATTATATTTAAGCATCCTGTTACACTCACACAATATATGAGACAAACTCCGTCTTAAGTGCAACAATTTAATTGTAGTTCTTTCTTCTTTCCTTCCTGTAGTGTCTCATATATAGGGACTAAGTCCCTTGTACTGCGGCCACTTCTGGCCTGTTGTACCATCCCCAGATGATAGGTGAGGGTGATTGTGGAGCAGTTGGTGGAATGAAGATTGGCAGGGGAAACCGAAGTACTCGGAAAAAACCTACCCCAGCGCCACTTTGTCCACCGTGAATATGAAGATTGCGATCATCTGGGATATGACGCCGTGTAGTCCGGCAGACAGGTACCAACATTTCAAAAGAATCTTTCGCCGAAACACGGATTAAAGACCTCATGACGTCACATCCTTAAAGCTCGTAATCTTAAATTCATACCGGATTAAATTCGTCTAATACTTTCTGCCATTCAGAAAAACACAAGCACGGAAGGAATCCGGACATACATACATGCCCCGAGTGGGATTCGATCCCACGATCCCCGTGATCGAAGGGTACATCTTAGACAGGATTTGAGGCTCTAACAGTGGTGGTTATGAAGATATCTATCTTCTGCGATATTATTATTCTTAGTGGGGTGAGACTGAATCCACTTGGTACTGCGGCCACTACTGGCCTATTGTACCAGCCCCAGATGATAGGTGAGGGTGATTGTGGAATAAATGGTGGAATGAAGACTGGCAGGGGAAACAGAAGTAGTCGCAGGAAACCTACCCCAGTGCCACTTTGTCCATGACAAATCCCACAAGACCATTTTGTTGGCGAGACAGCAACGTATACTTAGTTTTCTCTGTGTTTTCTTCTAGAACAGTCTCATTACTAGCATCAATTAAAGTTTGTGTGTTTTTCTTTATAGTGTCTACATTATCACCCAGTAGATTCACATCATCAGCATAGACCAACAGCTGATGTGTCCCATTTAATTTCAGTCCCACCAGGTTTTCCTGGACCTTCCTAGTGGCATATTCTAAAGCAAAGTTGAAAAGGAGTGGCGATAAAGCATCTCCTTGTTTTAGACCATTCTGGATAGGAAAATTATCAGACAAATGTTTACCTCTGCTGACTTTACTATACGTTTTGTTTAAACAGATTTTAATCAGCCTAACTAGTTTCATGAGTACCCCAAACTCTATCAGAATGTTGTATGATACTTCCCTCCTGACTGAATCATAGGCTTCCTTGAAGTCTATGATTAGCTGATGTACTCTCACATTGTACACATTTTTCCTAATATTATTTTTAATCTATGTGTATATCCAAACATTTAAAAATAAAAAAAATGGCATTCATCATTCATATTATACTTTTTTTTCTAATCAAGGAATGTTTCAAAATGTTTTGGTGTACACTTGTTGGTCAGGAGAACACTTACAACCCTTAATCCACCTATTCAGCTGTAAAGCTGACACACACCCAGGCTAGCCTGTGCTATGCAACAGTGGCTTAAGGGGATGGCTGATAGTGTGGTTCCTGTTCTAATCTAGTTTTATATTCTGAAATGTAAAGTACAGTTTAAACTTTTGAAGTCTCTTTATTTTTGTGTATGTACCGCTAAGCTGATGGGTGAAAAGTGTGTTTTTGTTAAGTTATCAACTGAAAAAGTTACATAGAAACACATCTCAATATGTAAGATATGAGGAAATAGAGAAAGAGTTTTTTTGGTGCAGAATTTCATGATAGGGATACATTTTTTGGAGCCTGTGGCTACCATGATGTGGGGGCGTGCATTATTAGTAAACATTGGTTTGCTTTTATAACCACATAATTGCAAATATTATATATAGTGGATTTAGTTATTTAAAACATTATAGTAACTGCTTCTGTGTAATATTTCATAAAATTGAAACAATACAAAATGAGATTAATTTAATATTTTTGTTTTATTCTTGTGCCTAACTGAAAAGTTTGCCCATTGTGTTGCAGGGTGGTTATCCAGCCAAACTCAAGAAGGTTCTAATCGTCACTGCCCCACTCTGGTTCAAAGCACCATTCAAGATCCTGCGGCTCTTTGTGCGGGAAAAACTGCGAGACAGGGTGTTCACCGTTAGTATTCCTCAGGTTAGTAGAGACCAGTAATTCTCAAACTTCTTAGGTCCATGGACCATTTTGGCAGGGTGAGAGTTCCCACAGGAAACCTGTCCTAACCCTGTTGACTAGCCAGCGTGCAAAGAAAACTTATCATCCTCAGTGGGAATCTTATTTTTGCTTTGAAGATTAGTCATTTCTCTTCCTTGTATTCACTGCCACAGACACTGAAAATCTTATGTTACAGTTATGTGTTATTGGGAAAGGCAGTAGGTCCATGAAAGCTTCTTAAGAGTCTTTAATACTTGTCCTGCTGAATACCAGCTTCAGTGATCCATCTGATTCAAGCTTTAGAGATTGTCCACTACTCTGAAGCGTGACCTTGATTTCTTCCACGCGGTTCATGTTTGCGAATGGATTTTTTATATGTGCAAGCAAACCTGGTTCTAGAAAATACCTCATGAATTGCTCTGAAATATTCAGCAATCTACTCATCATTTTCATCCTTTGACATAAGGGGTAAATCAGCAAGAACTGTGAAAGAGTCTAATTGTCAGCGTCCAAGGCAACCGCTCCATCTCTCCATTTTCATACATAAAGGCTCTTACTTTGTCCTCCGTACTGAAGATAGCAACAGGTTTTCCCTTCAAGGTAAAATTCAACCCATTCAGGGTGCTGAAAATATCAGTCAAGTATTCCAGCTGGGTAGTCCATGAGAAACCATGCATGCAGTCCAAGAGGTCAGCAACTTGACAGTCACTGGCATGGAAGTACATAGATTTTGACCTGCTTGCATAGTTCAAAGAGGTGACTAAGACCTCTGCTCTGCATGAGTGAACCAATGGCCCTCAGTGCATAAAAGAAGTTCTGTACACTTCCCATCTGTTCACACAAATGTGCACATTTGGAAGGCACTTTTTGATGAAGTTTACAATCTTTAGTGCCTCATCTGAACTCTTAACTGGTCAGTGGTTACTTCTTCATGGCAAATAATTCACGATGAATGCTACAGTGCACTGCTCCCACTAATAGTGCAGCTAAATGTTATGTGTAGACAGACCCATAATCCTACTGCCAGTCACATTAATGAAGCATCATGATCACTATTACTGATACACAATGTGTAATAAACTTCATTATTCACAATAAAATAGTTCAGAATGTCACAAGTGGCTTCTTCTGTCATGTTTGGAGTCAGAGATCTTCAGAACTAAACTTTATCATGTACTTCTAAATATTCATACCTGACATATACCAGAAAATATTCCCAAGTTTATCGGCAAACTCATCTAGATGAGTGAGAGGCATTGACCCTGATGCTGGCATGACAGCAGCTGGTAGTACACGTTCTCAGCCATGGATGTTATTCTGTGTTGTCAGCAGCATTCTTGCCTCTTTTCCCAAGTTTGCCATTACATTGAAGAAGGCTTGATGAAGTTCTTTGCTATGGTATTAGCTTTCTCAGTATTTTCTGCAAACAGTAGTAACTTTTATGAAGCCTCTCTAGCATGACCCCCAGCAATAAAATGCAGAGTGCTTTTACTGTTGATCAGTTCTGTTTTTTTTTTTTTTATATTGAATAGCTCAAGAGACTTCCCCATTGTATTCCATGTGTTTGGATACAGAATAGCATTTAAGTATGAAGGGCTTCACAGCTTAAGAAGCCAAAGATTCATAACACAGAGCACAGTGAGGGCTGGGATTCTTGTTGTCCATCCAGAAAACCTCATTTTCATGTAGGCATTGTTCACTTTCTTTTCACTTTGTTCTTGCTGTTTCTGTCATTCCACTTGTTTTGGTTTTTATCATTGATTTGCCATAATGTTGATGGTATCCTCACTATTCCTCTCATACCATGTAATTTGCCAAGTCACTTCCCCTGAACACATATACCTCTTCATTGTGACTATCTTGTTATTGATATCGATATCATTATGTGGATGTGGTGGTTCACAAATTGCCTCACTTGTACTGACACTGCTGTTTTGACTCTGCTCACATTCCAGATTCCATAAATGTCAACAGCATTGAAGTAAGATTATGGTTTTCTTAAATGTGTCACTGACCTGTCTACCAAACTACATGTTCTGTATCCCAGAAAATCTTAATGCTCAACATTGTGAGATTCTCATCCTGTTGAAAATTAAATTATATCTCATATCCTGAAATTGTTCTTTCTAGATCATGTAGTTAATTTATAGGTTTTTCCCAACATAACATTATTGTTCTGTTGTCTAGTTGACATTACATATCCCACGAGAATCTCTGCCATCACGTCTTGGTGGTGAGCTGGCTGTGGATCATGCATCGTGGCTGTTGCATTGCCTCAAATCCGTGACAAACCGCCATGGCGACTTCTGTGAATTGTCTCCTCTTAGCTCAGGAGCAGCAATGGATTCTGCCCTTATTGCCACCAGTGCTGTTCCCACCACAGTGCTCAATGGGACTAGTGGGAACCTAGAACAGGTATGTATCGCAGCCTTTAGAGAAATGTGAGTTCTTAAGAAAATGATGGCTATGTTAAACTAAGGAGAATACACAGAAACATAAGCGCAAACAGATTTCACATACTTTCCTATGTTCGTATTTGGGCCACTCACCACTATTTCCTTGAAGGAACCTCCTCTCCAGTTTTATTTAGTGAGACAATCTCCATAAGGTAGAGAGTAAAAAGGTAAAATTGTCCTTGGATTTAACTAATTAAGCACTACACCATGAAGACATATGGGGGAGTGGATGTATAAATCCATATATTCTTGACTTCAACACTACTTGGAGGTGAGTGGTCAGCTTCACACCGTGCTCTTGGTACCTGTTGCATAGGAGCCTGGGTGGGCCCCAAAGTAGGTCCTGACAAAATGGAGAAGAGAAAATTCTTGACCCTACCAGGACTCAAAATCTGACTCCTTGGTCATCCAGCCTGTAGCCAGTCACTATACCGACTGAGCTATCTGGGTTCCCAGTCTCTATAAAGTACCAAAATTTGATCCAGAACAGTAGAATCATTTTCAAGAAAACCGCAAATTTGTGTTCAAGGGATGCCATGAAGGACCCCTATTCTTAGATCTAGAATGTTCACACTGCCCACACACGTTCCTATGCTGAATAAACTCTTAAATACCAAATATAAATAAATCCTTCCAATTGTTCAGGAGCTAGTGAAGGGCACATACATACTGTCGTGCAGACAGATGGCATTCCCAAAACAACTTTACCATATTATCACTTGTAGGGTGGTACATGCGACAAGAAAGACAGGTTCTAGTTTGGATGATTGGATTTATTAGCACCTTGGTTACAAGTTCTGTTAATCACATTTAAATACAGTGCTATTGCTGATTTAGACACGCACACTGGTCCTCTCCTGGTACCACACCTAAAACACAGGAACTATAACAGTCTCACTGAATCACACACTCCAAGTATTATACATGAACGAATCCTTCTAACCACACTTTAAATCTTCACAGGTTGTCTTCTTATTCCTCTTCTATGATGAACTTGCCATGGCTATCTTCCATTGAGAACTCAATAACTCAGATCTGAACCGTAGCGCTGTTTGTTTTTAAGATTACTCCTTTGCACAGACCCCATGGAATTGAAACATGTTTACCGAACCATTGCTTAGCAACAGTTGTGGCATGGGCCTCATAGAAAACATTCTCTCTATTTTTGAGGTTTGTTTACTGAGCCGTTGCTTAGCAGTGCTCTGGCCATCTATGTTACAGTATTCAGGGGTGCAGAAAAATGTGAATATCTATTTTGGCGTCAGTTCTTTTATGACCACAATAGTTTCTCATAAAAACAAGTATGAAGAGATAATTAACAAACAATTCAGAATGCATGAGTGAGAATAACTCAGATGGTAACTGCATGCAGATGGAGTTCAAAATTTGGTACAGAAAATTTCTTTCTTTTGTGAGGGGTGAGTGCACCATGTCCATAAAAGCCCAGGTAATGAATCTTACTCAGCCATGATGCAGTATATGCAGGAGTTCTTCGCACTCAGACAGGGGAGGGTGTCCCATGAAACTGACTAGATAAGCACACCTGGTATGAGATCTGAAAATGCATGCACACTTGTTCTCATTTCTTTTCATTTACAATAGGCACAAGAACCCATTTTTGCCTGGGGTGGGTGTGGCTGCTTTCCTTGTCAATATCAGAGTTAACATTTTAAAGTGGAAATAACATTCAAATTGATAAAGTAAAATTTTCTAATGAAATTAAAAGATACTTGAATTATATCCAGAAATTTTTAAGCAATACTTGAGCATCAGTTACAGTACACATTGGTAAGAATATGGAATAAATATCATATCTAGGAGATTCACTCTTGGATCTCAATGTAAAACACAAAATTGTTTGAAGAGTTCTATCTTCTGGAATTTAACATTGTGTAAGGTAAAGTTGTCCTTATGCTTAACTAATTAAGCACTGTACCATGAAAATGTATGGGAGAGTTGCTGTATAGACCCATGTTTTCTTGAGCTCAACACTTCTGTAGGTGAGTGTTCAGCTTCATGGCCTGGCCGCTTTACCCCCGGGGAAAGAGCATACCCATTGGATAGGAGACTGGGTGAGCCCCAGGGCTGGTCTGGTTTCAACATTATGTAACCCAATGTATGACACAAACTCCATCCTAAGTGCAACAATTTATTGTAGTTCTTTTGTCTTCCTTTCTTCTACACTATATGTTTCGGCCGTAAATGGCCATCATCATGTGTATACTCTCACGTAGCTGTTACACTGCATGTAGTTTAAAATTTAAAAACACCAGCTTTCTTAATATTCACTTCTCCATTGTTAATAGGTCCCGATATATCAGAATCCCCTTGCTGATATTTGTCAGATATGTATAAAATCTTTGTTAATTTACATACGTCAATTTGATTTTTGAATTTTGGTATTTTTAAAATTGGCGTATGTAAATTATCAAAGATTTTATACATATCTGACAAATATCGGCAAGGAGATTCTGATATATTGGGACCTGTTAGCAACGGAGAAATGAACAATTAAGAAAGCTGGTGTTTTTAAATTTTAAACTACATGCAGTGTAACAGCTGCGTGAGAGTATACACCTGATGATGGCCATATACTGCCGAAACATGTAGTGTAGAAGAAAAGAAGACAAAAGAACTACAATAAATTGTTGCATGTAGGATGGAGTTTGTGTCATACATTGTGTAGAGTATAACAGGATGCTTAAATATAATATTATGTAACCCATTAGAAGTCAACCAACGTTTCGGAATAACATGTCCATGTGAGAACCTGAAATCATGCAGGAAATATTTTAGTTGGTTGTGTATGTATATTGGCAAACTACTGCCAGACTGCATGGTGTGACATTCCTGCATTTGGTACTTTTCATGGTCATCATCATGAGAATGTCAAATCAGAATATTCATGCTTTATTTTATATACATTATGAGAACATCATTATAATCATTGCTGTGTTCATGTAAATTGACTAAGATATTTTTTGGTTTCTTCATTGATGTGTATCTTTTCACCCAGTTCCCTATCTGCTGAGCAATCTGCAGAACATGTAGTGAAACAAATGCAATTATATACCTGCTTGAATGAATTATGCAGGGAGAGCATGTGTGCAGCCATGGAGCTAGTGATGGTGGTGACCAGAAGTCTTTTCACTCTCCAGTATCAGGACCAGAGGAGGAAGAAGAGATAACATCTCCCCGTGACTTGGACAATGGTGACATCTGGCAACACAGCTCAGGCAGTGGAGGTAATACATAATGTTCATTAAAGAATGTTTGTGCATGTACTTAAGACTGTTTGAGTCAATGTTTTCCTTCCTCTGAAAATGATCTAATATCATGATAGTATTTTGAAAGTGATTGCAGTCAATTCCTTTCCCACCCATTCCTCAGTGTCAAGTGACTACAAGTGATACAGTATCATGAAATAACCTTTTTTAGACATCTCCACTTTGTGTGGGTCATATAGCAACCAAACTTCTTTATCCCTCTCTTTCATCCCAGAACTGCACCTCAGTTCTTTCCCTTGTTCTTTTTTTGTTCTGTGTGACATCTTTCCTAACTTGATGTTCCCTTCTTGATCATGGTCTTTCTCTTGGGTGTATTATTTTAATTTTATTTTCAAAACCTTCTTTAGGGTTCTGTCTTTATTCTTAGAATGTCTTGTGTTTTTAAAAAGAAACTAGACAATGGATAATGTCTAAATACATAATATTTGTAGCAATAGATCATCTTCACAAACTTTTAGATCTTATGTTATTTCATCATTATCAGATTTTATCTTCTCCATGTCACTGCATCTTCTGCCATTTTTACATAATTTTGCCATTTTATGAATTCACATTTAATGTAAGCTTTTTGGTCCTCATGTTTAGTCTAGTGGTTCATCAAAGTGCCCTTGTTTAAAATCCTCCAGTATTTTCAAGTGTTCTGGGAATAAGTTTACCCATGTGCTTTAAAATTCAGAGATTTATATCGGGCACAAAATATGCATTTGTATGAACCAACGTATCTCAGTCAGTGTAGTGCCTAGGCTGCGGTGTGGATGAGTGAGAAGTCAGGGTTCGATTTCTGGCAGGCAAGAAACTACCTTTGGTGCCCACTCAATCTCCTCCACATTGGGTACTAGGGGCTGTTTCTCCTGGCTGGGTCATGAAGCTGAGCAGTCACCTGGATCTAGTGCTGAGGTTAAGAATGTTTGGAGCTATACCTCCACTCCCCTACATCTTCAGTGTGTGGTGCTTAATTAAAGACAAGGACAATTATACGAGGGTCGTACTGAAAGTCATGAGCAACAATTTTTTGTAAAGTAACATGCTTTAGTATTGACAAACCAAATACACCACCTCAATCTACAGACCTTTCTTTATTTTTCCACATAATCACCACTTCTTTGTACACATTTCTTCATGCGTTCTGGGAGTTTGAAAATTCCCTTCTGTAAAATTCCGTTCCAGCCATCCGAAGACACTGATGCACTGCTTACTGAATTGCCTCCCTTGTCTCAAAACGTTGTCCATGCAGCTGATCCTTCACAAATCTGAAAAGATGGTAGTTGGAGGGTGCCAGATCAGGGCTATAGGAGGGGTGTGAAAGAACTTCCCACCCCATCTTTGCAATTGCTTCCAATGTGAGGCGAGCGTTGTCATGTAGGATGATGATGTTTCATCCCAGACGTTTATCACGCAATGCACAACGGAGCTTGTGCAGCGTTTGGATATAATGAGCAGCATTGATGGTTTGCCCAGGTTCCAGGAATTTGGCCAGAATAAACCCCTCTGCATACCAGAAGACTGAGTCCATCACCTTCGCAGCTGATGGCACTGTCTTTGCCTTCTTTTTTGATGGAGAATGCAAATGGTGCCATTCCATACTCTGCCGTTTCATTTCAGGCTCGAAATGGTGAAACCAGCTTTCGTCTCCTGTCATAACACAGAGCAAAAAATCATCGCCTTCGTGTTGATATCTCTGCAGCAGTTCTGAGGTGATGGCTTTTCGCTGACCTTTGTGGTCTTCAGTCAATAACCACGGGACCCAATGAGCACAAACTTTCCTATAGCCCAAGCTTTCAATCATCTCCTGTACTGCACTGTGCCCTATTCCAAGTTTTTGGGCTATTGTGTCCACAGTCACACCCCTGTCATCTTGAATGATCACATCCACTCTTTCCTTGTTGCATTCAGTTGAGGCTGTTCGGGGACGACCACTCCGAGGCTCATCCTCGATGTTGGTGTTCCCATCTTTAAAATGTTTCACCCATCTTCAAACACTGCCTGCACCCATGCACACACTTCCATAAGCACGCTGAAGTCTCTGGTGAATTTCTGCAGCAGGGATTTCCTCTTTCACAAGAAATTCGATGACAGGATGCTGGCGAAATGACATATTGTTGTCGACCATTTTGTTAGGAGTGATACTGGTCACATGATGCAAGCTATTGACATCACAAGACACTCAAAGTTAACACAACAGCTGGTTCCACCTACCACCATACTCTCTTTTGTCTGCTGTTCCCAGGTTGCATGCAAAAAAGTTGCTCATGACTTTCGGTACGACCTACATACTTTGCTTTGGAAGTTTGTTGTATTCCATAAGCCAGGAATCTGTTATCATATGAGATGTTGTATACTTGCTTAGTTCCGGTATATTAAAAAAAATGTCTTCTTACCAGCATGTTCATAAAGTAGATATTGGCAATAATTTCTTGAAAAAGAACGACCATATTATCACCCTCAATATTGCAATCATATCCAAGAGATCATCAGTTCAAGTATCAACCCTTAATGAGCTTCTCAATGGTTTACTGCAGCCCATCCATGAATATTCAGTGATAGTACCTTAAATTAGACCATGACCACTGCCTTCTGTATCCTTTCCCATTCATTATTCACTAGTCATTGTACAATTTGACATGGAATTGTCTGAGCTGTTGGCACCATTATATAAAATGCAAACAAATAGCACAGCTTGCAGCAGCAGAGAACACAAATACTTTTCAATGTCAGCCATAAATCAGAAACATCATGATACAATAGTTATAAATCATCTTCATTTTAACAGTACTATTGTCATGTATTTGTGACTATAGATGGAGTGTGGATTGATAATTGGATTTATTGAACTCTTGAAACTTGTAAGTACAGTTAATTATGGCGCTATTGCTAATTCATGCACTCTACAGTTCACTACAGCACACACTAAGTCCTCTCAGTTTGCTGTGTCATCACTGGTTGTCGCCTGGTAATGGATCCCAGTGCCGTAGATTCCTCAGTTAGTGTGTCCCACAACTCTGAGCCTCGCTAACTGGCACCTGTTTCACAACTAGGCATTTCTCTTTACAGTCTTCTAACAAGGGCTATTCCTCGCACTTGTACGGCTCAAGGACTGCACTCCCTAACCACCAGCTCAAGACTGTACTGCTTGTTCTGCTCATGGCCTCCTAGTCAGAGCCCATCTTCCAGCAGTTTGTAGTCCTCTATTTCCCACGCCTCTGCCAGGCAACTGTTTCGGGCTGCCTGCCTCCAAACTTGACCACTACTCAACTAATGCCACTGTCTCAAGACTGATTTGCTTTGGTTGGTTGTTTAAATTGCTGCATTAGAGCTATTCTCCAAACTACAGAGCATCATATCCCAGAAGGCTGACAGTCATTTTATGAAGGAGCGTATTATAGTTTCCCATGCATTCAGCATACCAGTATGCTTAAGAGATCACCTTGCCACCTGTATGTCTGTGCATCCTCCCCTGTAACTTTTGAATGCCAGAACCAATCTTCATGAAATGTGGTATGTATATCATAGCCCATCTGAACAGTGTACTCTATAATTCATTCCCATCAGTCTGTCGGTCTGTGTGTGTATCCCCTGTATTGTTGCTATGCATGGGCTGAGTGAACACATTTCAAGGGAAATGAATGCACATGGCTGTAGAAGAATGGTTGGATGCATCATTTTCTATGTGGTGTATTGTATCAAAGGAAAAAAGGCAATTAGTTCTTCCCAGAACTTCTTGATAATACTGCTCTGTAGGTTGGTATCAAAATAATGGCAGAGGTGCTGATGATGTACAAGTATGTAAGATTGCCACTTGTTTATGCTAGTGTGAATCTTTTGACGCATCGTACTGAGATTATGCAATCATTTTGTAGATGCCTCTTCACCTGCACCTCCTGCTTCATCAGCTAGCAGTGGCTTCTCAGATGATGACAGCCTTCACTGTGATGTTGGACATGGAATGTCACTGGAACAGTTCGTGGAGAGTGTCCGGAGTAGAGGTCGAGTTGGCCTGGTGCAAGACTATGCAGAGATCAGGGCCCGCTCACCTGATGGATCATTCAATCATGCTCGGTATGGAGAGCTGTACAGCTGCTCAGAAAACTTGACTATTATTTTGGACATATTCATCTACTCAAGTATTTGGAAATCCATTTCTGAAACTTATCTGTTTCTCTCACTGGGAAGAGGGAAAAGATTCCGACAGTCCAGTGATTGACACTAGTGCTTTGTAATGTGCCCAACTGGCTTAGCAATCTTTTCCCCTTTATACCTGATGACATAAACACAGTTTACAGAACATCATATTTGAAAAACTCAATGCAATCAACAGTGTCCAAAGTAATCATCATCACTGGCCAAGCAGCCCTCTTGGGCCATAGCCTTTCTTAGCAGCTGTGAGATTTTTCTATTCCATTGTGAATTGGATCATCTGCTTTTCACTTCCTTGGATTTTGCAACAATATTTTTTGTTATGGAGCTAGATCACCAGCCTTGCTTCCAACCTCCAACCTGGAGTTCCAGGTCTCTGTATTTATGTTCCCCAGTGACAGGGTGGCTGAGTTATACCCCAAGGCATCAGGCTCCCTTTTGTCACCTGTGACTCTCAGGGCTACTGTGGAGGCATTCTAACGTGTCTCCACATGGGACATCCAAAGTAATAGTCATGTTTACTGTAACTCACTATCATCAAAAGCATTTAGACTTAACAATACCCCACAGGTACCTTTTTTTATTTTTAATCTAGACTGGTAGTTGTGGGAGTGGGATGAGACTGAGTCTCTTCTTACTGGGGCCTCAGATGGACCTATTATGTTGGCTGTAGCCTGTAGGTGTCAGATGATTAAGGAGCATTGGCAGAATGATGATTGAGAGGAAGAAATTGAAGTACTCGGAGAGGAACTGCCGCAGTACCACTTTGTTCATGACAAATCCCAAGTTAAGTTCCCTAGAATTAAATATAGGCCTCTGTGGTTACAAATCAGCAACTAACCATGTTAGCTATGTTGCAGCTCTGCATCACTCTTACATGGTTGGGTTATTTTATTATGCTTTATCATCTGCTGAATTTATGCACAGCTAATGTATTTATGGTTTGGTGATTCTGTCAGTAAGTCAGTCTCTAAGGTGTTGAATGATGGATTATGTAGTGAATTTAAAAGGATGAAGAAGGAGGCAGTCATGACCTAAATTGACACTCCATTGTGACATTTTATGAAGGAACTGAGGAGAATCACATAAACCCACCTTACAATAGCAACTGAAAACAGTAATTGTTGCAGTTCTTCTCTTTATGCAGGGCGTTGATGTAGGCCAGTGAAGGGTAAAGTTGGCCGCAGATTCATTCTGCGTAGAATAAAGGTGGACGCAGCTGCTCACTAGTGAATCGCCTACTAGTGATTCTGTGAAGGTTGTTGGTGCTGTTGCCTCACCTTGGTAGTTGTTTGGGCGCCACCCCAGTCGGGGAATATGAGACTATCACCAGGGCCGTCAAGTAGGCCTTGACTTCAACAAAGACAGTCAACAAAATCACAACAACTTCATAACACTTACATTCGCTTTATTTAATGAGCTGTAACTACATTTTTGTTACACTTGAATATGTAACTGTATATAATTCTTTGTCACCCTTTTGTGAAGATGGAACGGGCATGAACACGTCTTCACCACTCGGAAACTAGTTAGTGTCTCCTTTGGACAAAGAGCTTTACATATCGACATCTCAGCATCAGTATGATGTCATATTACCATTTGAGCAAGCTGATTGGCTCTTGGTGGGAAGCACCACTGTAAACCCCCTAGCTACCTACTCCTTGGGCTTACATCACCCATCATAAGACAAAGAAAGAACTAAATCACGAGTTTTGCGAGAGTCACAAGACATTGAGTCATTCTCTTTCAATACATATTTCACGGCAGTTTCTAATGCGTAGTAATGTACGCAATTCACCCAAACTTGTAATTTAAGTTCTGTAAAAATACAAGAGTTACATAAAAATGAAGGTATGCAGAAATTAGGCAAAGTATATTACTAAAAAGGAGTAATCGATTACATAATGTCATGTGAATCACTGTCTTTTGTTGCTAGCATCTTCTGGTTCTGTCATAAATAACTGGGACCAGTTTTGTGTTAGGTTTCCAGTGAAATGACATACCAACAAACTGATGAACACTGTCATGCTTAGACTGATTATATGTAAATATTACTTTATCTTCTTTTCTAGGTTACGAGCCAACCTGCCAAAGAACCGGTACACAGATGTTCTTTGCTATGATGACTGCAGAGTTTTGCTGTCACAAATAGATGGAGATCCTTGCAGTGATTATATTAATGCCAATTTTGTCGATGGTTATAAACAGAAAAATGCCTTCATTTCTACACAAGGTAAAACCATTTTTACGTTCAGATGACAGTCCTAACATTGAAATTATCTGGACATTGCACTAGAAATGCTTAAGCAGATATAAACTGTCGACTCACATGATTGTATTGCATCATCATTAAGTACATAGAAGATGCAAATCATGATTAACCTTTCCTTCTGGTGCCAGTATCCTCAAATTGGATTTTACATAAGCTCATAATTCTCCAGAAAAATTCTAAAGTACAATTTTGAAATTGCAGCATACCAAAGAGTATGGTCCTCCATATTGACTGCAAAACTGTTTGAAAATCCAAATAATAAATATAATTCTGACTACCAAAATTCATTATTCAGGCAGTAACCCTCAGCAAAGCAAGAAGCAGCAAAGAAGTGCACTGACTGATAGAAAGACTGTTGTCATTTCCAGACAGCTGTCCTGTGGTTTGTTTTGTGTCAAGTTCTGGTCCTTTCGCTTGAAAGTGGTGGGTGATGAAAAATTTTCAGGCTTGGATTGAAATTTTAGATATTTAAATTTACCAGAGTCACTTATTGTTCTCTGAAGTAAGCAAAAAGTTGTTCATTTTGTTGTATGGTGTGCCTTACACAATCTAGATGCTTTTCCTAATATATTATACAGGTCCACTGTCCAAAACTGCATGTGACTTCTGGCGCATGGTGTGGGAACAGCAAGTTCTGGTTGTGGTAATGACTACGAGAGTAGTAGAAAGGGGTCGAACGAAGTGTGCCCAGTATTGGGAGCCAGAGGAGGGAGGAGCAGCTACTTATGGGACCTTCAAAGTTACAACAGCATCAGTGGAAGAACACACGGACTACATAGTCACCTCACTTAAACTCACCAACCTAAAGGTAGAGCAGTTAAAAGCCTACAGATCCTGTATTTTGGAGTGGAGGTGCCTTCTTTGCCTATTTCCCCTTCTTAAGGATAGAACTTAGGTTCATGAGACTGCCGTGCTGCCTGTGTATCCTCCCTTTCAACTTTTGAACTAGCTGATTGGTTTACATAAACATTGTGTGGACTCTGTGCCATTGGAGGTCACCAAAACTTCATGCTTTTGAAGTGTTTGGAGTCTTCTGGACTGTAACACTGCACAGTTCGGAGAAAGCGTGACATTTCAGAGAAACATATTGCCTCCATCTCAAGTGTTAAAGAGTAAGCCAATCAAGAAAACAGCAGAAGCAGGAGGCAGAAAGCTAAGCAATACATACCTAGAAGAGCTTGCCTGTTACATGCTTTGTCCAAGCGTGAAAGGAAGTGAGGGAGGCAGTGGGACAGTGATCTTGTTTGTAAGGGAGTTCAGAGAGACCCAATGCGAGAAAAGGAAATAATACTTTGGTTTGGACCTGAAAAGGGTCATCTTGCATCCAAGTAAAGGTGGAGTAGACAGAAGACATGTGCATGATGTCTGAGGAAGAGGCTGGGTGGGGATAAAGGAGCAGAAGCCAGTTGTAAAGACCAAGAAGAGTGAAATACCATTTTCTCTCCACCCATTGACTCTCTCAGAGTCAATGGTCACTCTTGCATTTGCTCTGTAAGAGTTCCTTTCAGGCTTGCACCAGCCTACATCAGGTCAGATCTTCCATGCATAGTTGTCATATCTATTTGTTTCTTGCTTGGCTTATTCTTTAACCCTGTAGATGGGTAACAGTAAACCCTTGCTTATCTGGATTAACCGGGGGATGTCATCCAGATTAATGAAGCAAAAATATCCTTGAAAGATAAAAAACTTAGAAAACAAATAAATTGAATATTTAGTAATATAGGTAGTGCTGATAGGGGCATGCGGTAGCATAGTTGGTTGAGGCACTATGCTACAAGCTGGAAGGTCGTGGGTTCAAGTCCCAATGAGGTCATTGGATTTTTTTCAATTGACCTAATCCTTCCAACTGCACTATGGCCCTGGGGTCGACTCACCCTCTCACAGAAATGAGTACCAGGAATTAATTAAATAATTTTCCTGGGGAGTAAAGTGTGGCTGGCACATAAGGCTGACAACCTTACGGCCATCTTTGTGCTGATTGTCTAGATAATGTGGGACCCTCAACATCTCACAACTCTGTGAGCCTTCATGGCCTGTTACAGGGATAGCTTTACTTTTTTTACTTTTTAGGTAGTGCTGATGAAAGTAAATTAAAAAAGATACTGCAGCAATTTCTTTCTCTGTCAGAAGCTGAAATCCAGGGTCTCCTTAATCCAGCTCTAGCCAATCTTGGATATTTTCTTGCATGGTTTCAGTTTCTCCAGCTGCCCTCAACACTGTCTGAAAACCCTCCTACCCTAATCCCTCTTTCTCCTAAATCCTATTTGTCATTTGAAGTATTGTCACATGTATGAGTGACTATAGACCTGGATTGGATTGGATTGGATTGGATTGGTAATTGGATTTACTGAACACTTACAGATTGTAACTACAAGTAACTATAGCATTATTCGTAATTCACACACTATACAGTTCACTAAAGCACACGCTAAGTCTTCTCAGTCTGCTGTGTCCTTCACTGGTTGGTGTCTGGTAATGGCTTCCAATGCTGAAGCTTCCTCAGCTTCTTTATTCATGTCCTTACTGGCCAGCAGCTGCCTCACAACTCACGCATTGCTCCAACTGACTAACTCTGAGGTTGATGGCAATCTCACGCCAACCTCCTACTCTTCTCACTTCTGTCTGAAGATTCAAGAATCCCTCGTAATCACAGCTGCTTCTTGGTGTATAGCTTCGACACAGACTGCATAGAGAACACTGTGTCCCAATTGCTCCATTGTTGTCTGTTGTGGCCGTTACAAAGGAATGGTCGGTGTTTACAGAAGCATTATTTAGCAACATCTGTTGTATAGCTGCATATGTCCTGGTCATTGCCTAGCAGTGGATCTACATGCCACATTATGTACTCAACTGTGAACAGCAGTTTTCATTCTCCATATTTCGATCCACATTATCTGAAGTCCAGGCGCACTCTAACCAGATTAGCAAGGGTTTATATATATATATATGAGATATATTCCTCCAAAGGACATGTGGCAATACAACTTAGAAGACTGTATTCTTCAATCACCACTGCGAGAACATCAAATCCAGTATCACCTCTTTTGATTTCCTGTAATAATTAATAAAAACAACNGTGACTAACATAAGGCTACTGTGGAAGTGCCCATTTCGGTTACAACGACATTCGTTTATAACGACACTATTTTTAGGTCCCTTTGATGACGTTATAACCAAGTTCTACTGTTTTTTTTTTGAGGAGGAGGGGGGGGATGGGGTAGAATGTGAAACATCATGGTGGGCATGTGAAAATGTTGTCAGCTTTCAGCTTAATGGTGCTAGGCATGTAAAATTTGATATGGAGATCATAAATGTATCTACACAGTTAAGTAAGGAATTCTTTTTGTGAGTGAATAATTATAAATATGGCAACGTTATGACACACTGGGATTATATCCAGCAAACATAATATACACAGATCTGAATTTATTAATTATGTTCTTCATGAAAATAAAATAAAACAACACTGGGTAGAATACAATAATCTTCATAGTCACTGCAATGAGAACCTCAAGTCTCATATGATACTGCCTTATTTATTACCTGGACTTCCACTGAAGTGCCATAAGGACATGATTATAACGGTATGTTAATGAGAGTAATATCATGTTATGTTATGAATCATGGTTGTGTAACTGGAGTCTTATTGTAATATTTGTAGACAGATGAACGGAGAGAAGTGAGCCACCATCAGTTCACATCATGGCCTGATTATGGTGTTCCCCATAGTGCCCTTGCTATGCTGGACTTCCTAGACCGTGTACGGCAACAGCAGAGCAAGATGGTAACTGCATTAGGCGACACATGGGCTGGACATCCCCGGGGACCACCTATTGTTGTTCACTGTAGTGCAGGCATTGGCAGAACTGGTAAGCAGTAAGTCTCTGTAGAAAAATAAAAATGTTTTAACTGTTGTGTTACAGTGCACCTTGTTTTCTCACCTATGAGTCTGAATGCTGCTCAAAATTTCTAACATAGAACCAACATAATAACATGATGGTTGCTGTTGTCTGCTTCTTGCTATGGAAGCTACTGTTTGTGAAGTTTGTACTGCTGTTAAGTCTCTGTAAAATCTTCCATTTTATTTAAAGTATAATTCTCTTTGTATGAAAGTCTACTAAAACATCCATTACTAGGGTACTGACTGTTTCAGCTGATGTCTGTGATGGTTTTCCTCAGATGCCTCAGGCATGTTCCTGGATAGTACCTCAGATTAGGCCATAACTGCTTCCTTCCATAGATTTTTCAGTTCACTCTTCATTGGCCTTGATGTTTATTTATTGCTGATACAAATCTTTTAGCTGGCCATTTTGAAAGCCATTTCATCTTCCTGTCATTAAATGTGTAAGCTCGCTGATTTAAATTATCTATAGAATATCACTCTGGGAACAGATAGGAGAGCTCATTTGCCTCACTTGTCTACTTAATTTGCCCTTTGATTATCATAATCACTATTCATACAATGTAATACTTAAGTCCTGAAAGACTAAGTACAAGGTGGTGTCAGAAAGTTCCTAGACTGTTTTAACTGCTTCAGTGAAAGAAGATGAGAAGGGAGGCCAGGTTCACACTTCTGCAAGCCTATTGCATCAGTCAGCCACATGACACTGTGCTGTGAAGACTCATTGTTTTCACATGAGTACTTTTTTGACTTCATATTTCGTTTTGTTGGTGATGGATGGCAAAATAGAGCAACGTGTCTGCATCAAGTTTTTCATGAAGCTCAGCCACTGAGATCCATGAAATGCTTAGTGAGGCTTTTGTAGAACATTCTAAGCTGGTCATTGGTTTTTGAATGGCATTCATGTTTCAAGACCAGTCAAGTGTCAGTTGCTGATGATGACAAATGTTTGGGGTGACCAAGCACCAGCAAAACAACAGAAAACATTGAAAAAATTTGAGAACTCGTCAACAAAGACTGTCGCCAAACAATCCCTGAGCTCACAGACACCGTTGGAATCAGTTATGGAGTTTGCCAGGAGATCTTAACAGAAAATTTGAACATGTGCCACATTGCTCCTTCATCATGACAATGCTCCCGCTCACACATACCTGAAAACCACAGAGTTTTTGATTAACAACAACATGGTTATTGTTCCCCATTCTCCCTACTCGCCAGACTTAGCCCCCTGTGATTTCGCTTAGTTTCCCAAATTGAAAATGAAACTGAAGGGACAACATTTTAAAACAGTGTCTTGACATTCAAAGGGAATCACAAGTGGTACTCAACAGAATTAAGGAAAATTACTTCCACAGTGCTTTCGAAGTGTGGAAAAAGCAATGTGATTACTCTATAATATGTTCCCAAGAAGACTGTTTTGAAGGAGATGGCAGCCAGCATTTCTTTTTGGACCTAGTCCGGGAACTTTCTGATAGCACCTTGTATATTGAATGACATTAATTTTCTATTATNATACTTTAACATAAGGAACACCCTCCCGAAGTTTGGCGCATTCCTCTTGGGACACCCTGTATATAGAGCTATTCAGATTATTGAAAAGTTAAAATTGTTTTCCTTTTATTTAATTAAATAGTCATCATATGGGGGAAGATGTCTAGATCTTAATTAAATCTGTATTTTATATTACCCACACATTTTGTACACTGAGTGAGAAAGTCATCAAAGTGCAATTTGAACTTCTTGTAAAGTAGGGTTAGTATGTGACTCCTGTTGACCATAATTAGTTTCCCTTGATAATGTTTACTGTAGATTTCCCAGTACCATTTTTCCCCCCTTTCAGAATGCATTACATAACTATGGAGATAAGACAGATGGACAAACATGGCCTCTTCATTTTTCATTTATTTTATCACTTTGTTTCTGGTCAGATGCTTCATTGGTGTCACATAACTGCTTATCCCTTATAGTTTAGATTTGTGTGTCTCTATTAGTGAACTTTCTTTTCAGGCACGTTCTGTACACTGGACATCTGCATCAGCCGTCTAGAAGATGTGGGGACAGTGGATGTTCGAGGTACAGTGGAACGAATTCGTTCTCAGAGAGCATATTCAATCCAGGTGCCAGACCAGTATGTCTTTTGTCACTTAGCTCTTATTGAATATGCTCTTAGCAAGCAGCTTATACCTCACGTTGACCTCGCTGGCTTCGACAACCTAGTTGAAGATGAGTCTGAGTGAAAGAAATGATGTCAAAGTCATGAAACTTTTCCTAAAGTGACTCACTGCACAGCTGTTGACAGATGAGCGGTAAAAGTCACTGAGTCAGAATAAGTAAGCTTTCTACAGTATACAGTTTCTTTGCAACGTTAATGTCAGTAACTAGTTTAATGTTGCTTTGAAATTAAACAGAACAAGAAAGAAACAAAAAGTGATGCAGGATTTAAATGAATGTGCAGGTTAATATGTCAATGAACTCGCCACTTCTCATCAGATCATCACTGTGGATTTGAAGCGGCTGTATGATATTGACACTTTGTAGACATAGTAGGAATATTCTTATGAGTTTCATTAAATTAAATATTGGAAATTCTTTCTTTACATACATAACATTCTGTATTGTGTGAATTTAATGAAAAACACAGAATCTTAACTGCTGGACTGGAGATGTTCTACATAATTATATTTCACAGTACATAATGCAGGATGTAATTACATCTAATGGTGTCATATCAATATCTAAACAAAATATAAGCTGTGAAATGTGAGATTTTTCTGGTAGTGCATATGAAAATTACAGTCTTCTGGGATGTGATGCTGTGTTGTTTGGAAAATAGATACCAGCATTTTCTAGCAACCTACTCCATTCCTCTTCATGGTAGAACATGGAGGTAGTAGGTCCCTCTGAAACATTTGTACTAACGTTTCTGAGGAATATACTGCTTCCATGTTCAGGGTTGAAAATTGAAGCAGCAGGTTTTATTGAAATATTGATATTTATGTACAAACTACAAGGCATGACATCCCAGAAGACTGATAATATTCATAATGAAATTTGGTTTCCCGTTAATTCATTTAGAAGGTGCAAACAATTTATTTCCTGCAGTTCTGGGTGGGTAGATATCACTTATAAGAACATTATCAGTTACCATATGTATTCATGGTGTGATATTTATGTATTTCAAGATGAAAATATTATGTGACAAGTTTATTGATGTTGCTTCTGAGGGATGAATGTACTGTAATTGGAGAATAACTGAGAATTTGAACACCAGATCATCTGATGGTGTTGACGTTTGTCTGCATGGTTTAGTGTTGATAGATCAACTGGCACTCCTTGGTGGGTGTGTGAAAATGTTGGAAGAAGTGATGCACAGAAGGAATTGCACTACATTTGCAGCAAAATATGAATTGTTGTATTTAATGTTTCTAACCATCAGTATAGTTTAACTGTACATTATTTCTGTACATAATAATTCATATTTAATATATATACCATATATATATCTTTAAACAATGTGATATGTAATTGAAGCTGCTATGTATTTTTAAATTTTTAAACCTTTTTTCTGTCATTACTACAAATAGTCTGAAAAACATGTAATTTTTACATAAAGAAAAAGGGAACATATCAGTAAGTGCTATTCAGTAGCAATGGAATTGTCAAAGTGAAATAGTTGTGAACCAAATGGTGAATTTTTGATTTTGATAAAAGTGAAAAAGATCTAAAACATGGATTAATGAATGCTGTAGTGGGGATAAGTGATTTGCTACTCCATGGTGAGCATGAATCTAGCTCCTCTGATGTTGAGAAATGTCTGTAGTAGGAATATAAAGAAAATGAGGGACTAACATTCTTCAGATAAATTGTGGATGTGATTAGTTGTGAACCTGTATGCATATTGTAACTAGTAGAAGTCTCCGGCCAGCTGTTCTTTTGTTGCAGATTTGTAAACATATACTCCACTCTCTTCCATTCTATTAATCTGTAACTTATTAAGGATTCATTTACATTTTGTCACAGTTTCTTAGCTGAAAGAACTGCCTCGTTATAATGGAAACTTAAAATCAGAGTTTCAAATTCTTTTAATCAGAAGATTTGTGATGGTTGCATGTTATTAAACTGACACATATGCTGGACGTTGTGTATCATCTCATTATTTGTTTCAAAAGCACAGCATTTTGGTAACTGGGTCTGTTTCCATCATCAAATGTAAAGGGGAAAGAATTCTGCTCAATTGGGCCTATTAGACAGAACAGTTCTGTCTCTGGACTAGTCTGCAGGTAAAGATCAAATACATCTAATCAGCCAGAGAAATAAGTGTTCAAAATTGAGAAATGCTCATGTAGGTATATGAGTCCATGGAATTACCAGCACATGTCATACTGGAAATTATTACAGTGCCTTTATGGGAATTAATTCTTACATGTGTTGTTGGGAACAATAATTAAGTCTTTAGGGATCTGCAAGTAGTTTTGTTAAGAAGAAGCTGCTCTGAAACGATATAGATCATGTAAGATTTAAGATTTTCATGGCAGTGATTATGAAGACTGCTGTCTTCTGGGATGTGGAGCCATGCAGATATTGTGTAAACCAATGTTCCTCCGAAACATCGGTTTATGCAATATCTGCATGGCACCACATCCCAGAAGATGGCATTCTTCAAAGTAGTTCATGTCTACGCACGTCTAGCTCCATTTTCATCCCTACATGTAGTGGACCCAGCAGAGTAGGTATGTTCTGCTGATGACAAAAGCAGAGCAAGTTTTTGGTATCCTGTATTTCTATACTCAATAATGAGATGATGAATAGTGCCCAAAATGTCACTTCAAAATCTTGTGTTACATTAAGAAATTAGCACAAAAGATTGGCATATCTAACTGGAATGCTGTGTGTATGTGATACTATGCTGGTTAGAGAGTGCTGTCAAGTAATGAATCTCAGAAAGTGAAAGCACATATTGTAAGTCTGAAAAGTACCGCACCACTGAAATGATTGTGATGAGTATTTATGAGGATGCAGGGGTGTCCTTTACTAGTATTTACTGTTATCAGTTCTCACATAAGACTTGACTAGAATATTGGTTATCATAATATAATTGCAGAAATTTCTTAAATTCGTGGAGTTCTTCTTTCAGTGGAAATTGACAATTATATTTATTGCAGAAGCTAAATTTAACAGTATTTTAAACTGGTAATTGACAATAATATAACTATAATTTTGAAGAACGAATTCCAGAAGTGAGTAATTGGTTTAGAATGATATTGTACAGTAAATGTCATTATGAATTTGTTTGCTTTAATGTTTTAGCAACATTGGAAAGGATGAACTCCTCCTCCCCCCCTCCATACTGCTATCCTTAATTTTTCTATTGCTGTTACTGTTGTCAAAGATATTAAAATTCACCTTCAAATGAAAATGCATTATAGTGATTTTATTTAACCTTTTTGTGCACCAGAGCCTATTAGGTCAGCTCGGTGTTAATCACTTCATACAGGCATTTCTGTCAGTACATGGCATCAAATGCAATATACTCATATTTACAGGAGAAAACAGGCATTCCCTTTCTGAGGAAGAGTTATGGGTGTGGAGTTTCCTGTGCAAATAAATCGGCCCCTAAGCAGCAGTGATGTTTATAATGGGTAATTCTACGGCAGGGCTTTGCACTCAAGGGAGTTAAATAGAACCTTCTACTCCCATTGTATGTTCTTTAGCCATTGCACTATTAACTTGTTTTGTCTAGGAATATGGAATTTTGAATCTCTAATTTTTTTTAATTCGCTCAGTGGGTGGTGGATTCCAACTGGGTCTACCTGGCACGGTGGCCACTGATTGGCCTGTTGTAGCCTGCCCTGGGTGTTTATGATGATGGAGAATTTGGTGGAATGACGATTGGCAGGGGAAACTGAAGTACTCAGAGAAAACCCGTCCCAGCACCACTTTGACCACCACAAATCCCACTTGACCAGACCCGGATCAAACCCGGGCTGCTGTGGTGGGAAGCCAACGACTAACCGCTTGAGCTATGGTGCAGCCTTGACTCTCTCATACACTAAGTCTGGCAGCTGTATTTGTGGATAGTGAAGTGTTTAAAGAATTCTGAAAATTTTATATTGATACAGATATTTTAGGTACCAGAAAGAATTTGAATCTTTTGGCATCTTGCTGGGTGGCTCTTTTGAGTTGTATTTGTCTTTCCTAAGCACACTGGTGCTATATGTAAGATACAAATAAATACTTAATTATGAAATAATTGTAAACAGTGAAGTTATTAACATATAACCTGTAAAACAGTGAACTTAAAAATTTAAGACAGAAATTTTTGGCTTAACAGATATGTTCATCGTTAACTTCAGATGTGGTTCACCATTTTGTTCGTGTCACAAGTGATCGACTGGAATTTCCAAAACTCCAAATGCCAGATGGGGAGTTAGTCACTAGCCAAAACCTTTCACTTGCAACTGACATACTCGTAGTATTGAGAAAATATGCTCTGCCAGTTTGACCACATGTGTGCTCCATTACAGTAATGCATCACATGGCCAGTAAAAATTGATGAAGTTGAACATGATGATTTCCATAGAATAAAGTATAGCATGTAACTGTGTTGAAGTATTTGTAGGTAAATATGCCTCCCCTCTGCATACTTTTCCACACTCCCACCAGTTTTCATTTGCATTTTTGTTCCCATTTTCTCTGTGTTCTTGTTTCATCATGATTTTTGATCCATATACTGTGGGGAGCATGCAGCTGACTTGAATCCAAACACTTGTCCTTCATATTTTGAAGTTCCAAGTTCAAATTATAGCCTAGAGCATTTAGCATGTAAAAATGCTTGTATTTATTTGTGTGCATAAGGTAAGGAAATATAATCATTATGGCAAATTTGAAGATAATATTCAGTAATATCTGTAGCTTAATAATGAGAAATATGGCTGTAAAGAAACCTGATCAGTACAGAAGTGTGCAGTATGTACTAATGCAGTGTTCAGTAATAATTGTCAGTGAACAGTGAGACACTGATAATTGACAAGTGACAGTTAATTATATTATAAGAATATGCAGTTATAATTATCACTGATGTGAAGGAATTCTTCTGTATCTGCAGATTCCCCCAGCAAGAATGAGCAATGTACAGTATACATTCTGCATACCTTACGCATTCTCGTATTGCTAACAACTCGCCTTAAAAAGTAAGCTTTTTATACAAAATATCTCAAACGCCCACAGACTTGCATGGATTCTTTGGAAAATGACCTGAGCTAAGGAAAATGGACAAGAGATTTGGTACATAGAATGTAAAAATTCTGTATAGGGCAGGTTTGCTCACAAGACTTGTAAAGGAAATATCAGAATAAAACACACTGCCTGGAACTTGTGAAGAAAGGACTGAAACATCATTAATATTTAATGCATGCCAATGAAGTTTATAATTTTGATTCCAGTTCAACTTTGATTGGCTTTGACTCTTGAAATGTGAGGCCCCTGTTTCTCCACAGAGCATGGAAGTTGTTGCCATTGCATTGATCATCTGTTTATTGTTGTTTTCTAATTTGCCATTCAGTTTACAAAATCATGTATCCTAAACTTGCATTTCTTAATCAGCATGTTATATACGGATTTGAAGTGGATAGCAAAATGGTTTAAGAGTGGGTAAAATACAAATACGAGTATGTATAAAATAAATACGGGTACCTGCACAACCTCTTCTGCACATCTGTTCAGAGAAGATGTGGGACACCTTTGGCACAATATTTCCTTGTTATTGTTGGAGTATCTTTGCTTGGTAATATTCTTGCACATTTTTGAGGTTTATTTCATTATTAGTCCTTTAAGTAGCTGAATAATGAATGGAGAAGGTAAGAAACATCTGGTTGTAGGAAGACTCAGAAGCAAGGAGAGCAAGAAGTAATCTTGAACAAGCATTAGATGTTATTGTTAAAGAGGTAAGAAAACATGACATTGTTGGTATTATCAGAATTCTGGAATTTACACTAAGGACTATTCATAATACTTAAGAAAGAATATGTGAAGATTGGATAACCATAAAAAAAAAAGTAGATTCTAAAGGGTTCTGACGATGGTGGATGACACACAGAATTACTGGGGTTTTGGGCGTCTTCCATTGTACAGAATTCTAGGTATCAGAGGACATGATGTTTTGGAAACTGGATCTGTTTCCATCTTCAGGTGCGGAAGGAAGACACCTACTCAGTTGGGCCCCTTATAAAGAACTAATCTCAATCCCTGGAGTCCAAATACGTTTGGTGTTCTGATTTGTTCAGATAAGCAACTAATTACATTTTTGACAGAATTAATTTATTTGATATGGTGTCTGCATTGGAGTCAATTTTAAAGCACCTCTAAACTGTGTTTGATTTATTTCTCCTGTTGTTAATATCCCAGAGGCACGCTGTAGCATAGTAGGTTGAGGCACTATGCTACAAGCCGAAGGTCACGGGTTCGTTTCCTGATGAGGCCATTGGGTTTTTCGGTTGACGAGGATTTAAAACTGGAGTAGTAAATTTCTGGAAAAAGAAATGAAAGCCGGTATTATGTTAAATGCAAATGTAGGTCGTTATTGCATTCTGTGATTATACAAGTATTTTTGTTGTTTAATAGTCGGTCTTTAGAGTGCCTGTAAATATATCACAGTGTTAACAGTGTTCTCTCATACCAAGTTATTTTTACTTTATACAAGAATATTTATTATATACAATATAATGTAAGTTTATCGGGTATGTACCGCAAAGAAGCAGCTCTATGCCTGATTGTGATTCCTCGTCGCAGTATCGGACATCTTTTTCGCATAATTGGAATTAGTGACGTTTACATAGTTCAAGTAACTCAATAAACTGACGGTTAGATGTCGTCAAAGAACGCATAATTATCCGTGTCTTACTCGACATTGCCCACCAATAACATTAAGTTGCCCGTCTATAGTAATCCATGGTCAGAAATACGAAGTTACTTATCCCTGCTGTGAGTAAACATGGCTGACAGCGAATCGGATACTAGCCCGCAGAGTGAACAAATTAAGACTTTGCCGACAGGTCCTAGGGTAGTGACAATTTACAAAACAGAGACCGGCTTTGGTTTTAATGTCAGAGGCCAAGTAAGTGAAGGTGGGCAGTTGCGGAGCATCAATGGTGAATTATATGCACCTCTTCAACATGTCAGCGCAGTTCTGGACGGCGGAGCTGCGGAGAAGGCTGGAATTCGGAAGGGGGATAGAATTCTTGAAGTGTAAGTTATAGTTTAAGAAAGGTATTTTGTGTTTGACAGACATTATGTTAAGTGGGTTAACAGTATAATATTGGGCATATAGTTTGCTAATTGAAATTGTGGTGTTCTAACTGTTGACAGTCTATACTGCAATTAACAGTAAAGTGTAGTTCATTCAGTCACTACAAAGTGTAGCTGGTGTGCTGTTCAGAGACTCGGAATTTATTATGTGTGGGGTTCTGAAGTATTTCATACATACTCTAATTTACATCAGACATAAGTAATGCTTGGTGCTCGAGCTATTATTTTCTTTCCTTAAAAGCGGTACTGTTGCCATGATTCAGAGGGATATGAAGCTTCAAGTAATATTCACATTTCAGTGAATTATAAACATCAATTATGATATGAGAAAAGGAAGATTCTTTATGTAAGCAATGAATTCGATATCCTTGATTCAATGCCATAGCAAAAGTAAACATTAGATAGATTATGGCTTACAATTTAGCTTTAACTTCAACCATAAATATCATATAAAGCTTCATATGGTGGTATTATTTCAGGTACCGGTAAATAAATGTTAGACCTTTCATTCATCTGTAGGTAACTGTAGCTTTCCTCATAGTACTGCACTTGGCTCATGTTACTATATTAAGTGCCCAAAAGAATGGCTTCAGAACAGCTTGTTATTTTATTTTATTTTAGCTTTGTAGATCTATTATGTGTAGAATTTTGCATGGTACTCAACAGTTCTAATAGTGTAGAGATTAGGCTCTGTTGTATGCATCATGTTGTGTATCATGTGGTGTATGTCAACAGGACAAATTCCAAATAAGTAAAACAGTATTACTGTATTAACATGTGCTTATTGTTCTGTATCTGCTACACATTTCAATCCAGCTGGATCATCATCAAGCAGTTCTCATGATACATATCTGATTATTGAATTATGTTCTAATATGAATGCATATTAGTAATTATATGAATGCAAATTTTGTTGCCAAGTTCTATGTCTTGTTGTGTTACAGAATTGTAATATTATTTCTAAAGGTTAGAAACATGGTTTAAATTCTGTGTCAGAATGTTAATTTTTACTGTTAATTAAATATTAATTAATTTTACACTGGAATTATTTTGAAGTAAAGTGAATGTCCATGGTGATATGTCATAGAGTAGCAGAGTGTCTGAAATAGCGTTAGTGCTATAGTTATTTGTAGTGTTCAGTAAATCAAATTACCAATCTAAACCCAGACTATACTCACCCCAAAACTTGACACTATGATTACTGTTATGGATCCATATTAGAACACAATTCAATAACAAGTGATACATAATGAAAACTGCCTGATGATGATCCAGCTAGAATGGAACATGTAGCAGATAAAGAAAGTAAAAGTAAAGGTATCCATGTAACAGGCCATGGAGGCCCATAGGGTTGTGTGATGTTGAGGTTCCCACATTTTCTAGACAATCGCCTCATAGATGGTGGCAAGGTAGTCAGCCCTACACGCTGGCCGCCCTTTAACCCCAAGAACATTCCTGGTACTCATTTATGTTAGAGGCTGAGTTGACCCTAGGTCCATAGTGTGGCAGGAAGGATTAGGTCGATTGAAAAAAGCCAGTGACCTCATCGGGACTTGAACCCATGACCTTCCGGCTTGTAACATAGTGCCTCAACCAACTATGCTACCGCATTCCCCACATGTAACAGATACAGAATAATAAACAAATGTTAATACAGTAATACTGGTTTGTTTATTTATTTGGAGATTGTTGTGTTGATGACCATATAATATACCACATAATGATTTGTGTTCTTGTTTTGTAGAGTCTCAGTCCCCAATGAGAAATTCTTGCCTTGTCTCTGGCGAGACTGTTTGAGTCATAGCTGATCTTCCAATGTATATGATGACAGAAATCAAATTTAAGAACCCCTTGTGCCACTTCAGCATATATAATAAGAATTGCTTATTGATGTGTAAAGCTTTATTTCAGAATTCATTTCTTGTTCATAGTACATGCTCTTCTTGTTTGTGCTAATGGCAGTTACCAATTATTTCACTGTTTCAAAACTTGTATGTCTTGTCACACTCATGAATTGTGCTGGATTTTCAGTTGTGTCTAAGAACCTCTCTATCTTAAGTGGAAGTAGAATATATCATTTACGTACAGTAAAACATCAGCAACGTGGACCGTTTGATAATCTGGAGTAGCAAATTGATAATAAAAATATATTAATAATTGAGTATTATTAAAACTGCCATACTGAGAACGGGGACACATGGTAGCCTGGTTGGTTGAGGCCCTATGTTGCAAGCTGGAAGGTCGCAGGTTTGATTCCCAGCGAGGTCATTGGATTTTTCAGTTGACCTAATCCTTACAGCTGCACTATGGTCCTGGAGTTGACTCAGCCTGTAACAGAAATGAGTACTAGGAATCTTCCTGGGGGTAAAGGGCAGTTGAGACATAAGGCTGACAACCTCACCACCATCTGTGAGCTGATTGTGTAGAAAATATTGGAGCCTTGACATCTCACAACCCAGTGGGTTTCCATGGCCTGTTACAGGGTTAGTTTTACCTTTTCTTATGTACTGAGAACACTTTTTAAGGGTTACTTCCCATAAAAAATTTTTATTTCATTGGACTTTCATTGGTTTGATATTGTTCATGCATAAAACACTTTTAAAGCATGAAAGAGTAATTTATTTCAGGATGACAGTATGAGATGTCTATACCATGTAGATAGCTTTTTTTTTTTTCATTGGCGCTACAGCCCTCATTTGGGCCTAGGCCTACCTCCATGAAACTCTCTGTTTCACTTCGGTTTTACCAGATCTTAGACATCCGGTAGGACTCCTTGGGCGGGTGATCAGCTCGTCGCAAGGCCTCTACCTGTACACAAACATCCATGCCCTGAGTGGGATTCGAACCCACGATCCTGGCTTCTGAGCGAGCGAAGACAGTGCATGCCTTAGACCGCTCAGCTACCATGACTGGCGTAGATACCATTACAAAAGTGAACAATCGTGACACTGCAATACTCATTGAGATAGGAGTGACTACAATAAACCAAGTGCTTTATAATAATAATAATAATAATAATAATAATATAATGTTGTCACATCCCAGAAGGCAGTCATTTTGATGGATACTGAATTCAAATGAGCTATTAAATTAAACATTTCTTCCTTGATGTGAGCAGAATCCATCTGAGTATATTATTCGTTATTGGAGAGAGAATTTTTGTCTTGGTTATTGTATGGAAGGTAAAGTCCCTAATTACTGTCTCCAAAAATGAATTGATTGTTGGAATTCTGTATGAAATTTTGGGTGTTCTGTCATCACAGCAGGATCGAGGTTATGATGCTATGACATTTGTTGCAATTTAACATGTGTATCCGAGCATTTGTTTGTTGTTTATTTAATAACACTCTCAGTAGATCACACTACTCGTATGTGGTATCAGTTGGTAGGATGATTTGTGAATAACGAATTTGGAACTGCGGAACCCATGAAAATCTTCAGTCAGGAAATTTATCTCTGTTTATTCTGAGAACCGGTGGAAAGTAACAAATACTCTCTGTGAGTGAAGTGATGAGCCAAAAATGAAAACAGGTGACATATGTAATAGCCACTGCCAAGTAAAAGCTAACAAAATTCACCACTTCATATTTATGATTCATGATTGGTGTCAGGTTTGTAATAAATGTTTAGTTGTGTAACTATAAACAGTTGGCAGGCATGTGTGTCATGACATTTACGGAAATATTTCTTAATGGTGCTTTGCAGATCCAGAAATTTGAGAATGTCTTGCAACAGTAAGTACTTCTGCTTTATAGTAGTTCTATTCAATTTTTGTATGCAGGAAGTATCTAGTTTGAATCTTGGCTAGGTTACCAATTAGCCCACCTGCACTGTTTCATTGTGTTCTTCAGTCTCTGCTTTCCGAACCCTTATGTACTCACCGTTTATGATCATCCCATCAAATTTAAATGCATCATTAAGTAACCTGAGCGTCTGTTACCGTCAGGGGTTGAGGTTTTATTATCTTCAGGGATATGACGCCGTCAAGTGTGGTATATCGTTACTAGCATTTTGGAAGAAAGGTAAAGTTGCCCCTTTGCTTAATTAATTAAGCATTATGCCATGAAGACGTATGAGGGAGTGGATGTATAGATCCACATTTACTTGACCTTGGCATTAGATGGAGGCGAGTGGTCAACTTCACGCCCCTGCCTCTTTACACCCGGAGAAAGTGCCCCTGGTACCCATTGGATAGGAAGCTGGGTGATCCCAGAGCTGGTCTGGACGACATGCAGATGAAAATATTCTTTACCATATCGGGACTCAAACTCCAACCCCTCGGTCGTCCGGCCCTTACCTAGTCGCTGTATCCTTTAAGAGTGGTAGCGATCTACAAAACTACAAGGCGTCACATCTTCGTAGCCACCACCACGAGGGTCTGAGATCTCTGAGCTCAGTACTTAGTGCTAGTTACCCAGTTCCTGAGGAGTTCATGCAGAAGTATAACAGATGACTCATATTTAGTGGGTACCCTGTTAAAATACGAACTACAGTTTATCAGTTCTGGGGTTGTCATTGTTTCTCTCGGCCCTTGTATGCCATTTCCAGGATAGTTCCATCACTGTTTGAAGGATGATATTCATCAAAATAATATTCCTCATATATAGTATGTCAACCTGTAGATGCTGAAGGGTTCTGACGATGGTGCTCAACACTCAGCAGTACTGGAGTTCAGGACTGTGTCCGTCGTTCAGTGTTCTAAAAACCAGTGAAGACAACGTTTCGGAAACAGGACCTGTTTCCGTCCTCAGGTGAGGGGGGAAACATCTACTCTATTGGGTCCGAGCAGGTGTCTTCCTTTCATATGAGGAATGAAAGAGATCCAGTTTCCGAAACATATTCTCGAGTTTTTAGAATACCGGACGATGGACAAAGTCCAAAAACTTAGTAATTCTGAATACGTCCCATCTTCATTACAGTGGCAACTGGTTAATGCTGTT